TTAGCCATGGCTTCATCATCAAGAAGTAGGTTGGCTTTAGCCATCTCATCTTCAAATCTAGTCGTGGTCTGGCCCTCTGTAAACTCTGTCCCCTTATCATCATCATCATCATCCTCGTCTTCTTCGTCGTCACTGAAGGGGATGCCACAGGTAGGACCGAGTAGGATATGCTCATTGAAACGTCGAGTGAAATCCAACAGGTCGTCATGATTGGGAATGTCAGGGGATTCCTCCAGAGCGTCCATCTGCAATCCAGAAAGAACGCCATTCACCGTTAAGTAAAACATGATTGGAGAAAACTCATGGGAAGACCGTGTCCATGCGGGGCCATCTCATATTAACCTTTCGCGTTATGAATGGCCTGGAGAGTTGCTCCGTTTGCGATAGATTTGTTAGTCAGGCTAACAAACCCATTTTGCGAGTTCCCACCCTAAAACTACGCTCAGGCAAAGAAAGGAAGCAAGTTTGTTTTTAGTAACAGTGTTTGGAGCATGGAACGCTGTGCCCGAGGGTGCTATTCTTTCCAGCTGGGTGAATTTGTCTAGGAGCAAGCTAGACACGCATAAGGCTACTCATCCCCCAAGCTACTTGCAAACTGCAAATCAATTATATGTTATCATACAATGCCTAATAAGGGACTAGTCATTTAATAAAACTGATCTGAACTGAACAACAAACGTCATAATAGGTCGTACGGGCAGCCAACTATGGCCAATTTGTGTATCTTGCGTTTAATCTAGTCTCTTGCAAAGCATTAAGAAACTCCAGGTTGGATAAAATTGGAAAGAGCGCTAATAAGAGGGCCTTTAGATAGGATTGTTCGGATGGGGTGTGTGCAACAGAATTCTGCGTTTGAACTCAAATGTTACTTCCTTCCATCCAGTCCGAAAATGGGTAGATGCTTCCGATGGGCGAAGGTACGCCTTTTAATGGCTTACAGACTTGGCGCTGTTAGATGATTGGGACTTCAATCAGTGGTCGTTCTCAAAAATTAAGTGCCAGCCTGAGGGGTGGATGGCCAAAGCTCCAGAATAAACATGTCCAGTATTCCGGTTCGCAAACTGGATAAGTCAGCGAAAGCTCCTGTTATTCCGGTTTGCCTCACATACCATCTTCCCCAAGTTTTTTGATTTCACTGAATTATTTCCATACTACGTATTCTTGACCTACAGGTTGCTCGTCTGCGGTTTCGCAAAAAAGCAAACAGGACTTGAGAAATGTTATGTGTCTTGTAAGTAAAATTAGGCTACTACGAGAGACTTATTTCCAGTTAGCTCATATTAGTATATTTATCTTCTTTCCCAGACGAACTACGGTCTTCCAATCTCCTTCTGACCCTCAAATCTCCGACGGCATCTAGCAAAGTGGCACCGAAAGTTGAAAGAATGTCCGGCAGACAGCAACTAATTTGAGAGAGGAGGCGGTGGCCTATTTCTACGAACACTAGGCTATTATGAATTGTCGTCATGGAAGCCAGGGGCAACTTTGACAACATGAACCAGCCTCGTCACAACCTTCAACAGACTATCTAAGATTTGAAATCAGGTCAGTTGATCTTCCACCGTTTCACTTCCTCATTACTTCCGCCGCTGACATACATTCCATCAACTGAGATCGGAAATAGTAAAAATCCCACACAATTGACGTTGCTTGATCAATGTTGATAGCGGAACAGAATATGCGTACGTTCTTGTTGATTTGGAACTCAAGGAGCTCCGAAACGGCAAGCGAATGGAAACAGCAGGAGGCCATAATCTTGGCAAAACAAAACAAAGAGATTGGACAGCATGCATCAAAAGGGGATCTTTCTTGCCTGAATCAGGTCGAAACAGGCTAACAGCTTTCCACCGAGTGTTTGTCCGCGATATATTTGCCACCATTGGAGCGGTGGTGGCGTGTAGTTGTCACCTTTTATGATGATTTGAGGCTCACAGAAGCAACGTCCAAGGTAGTTCAGACCAGCCTGAAGGAGACAAGTTATATTTTAAGTTTTGATATTGAATTCCTTAA